AACGCCTTTATTTGAACAGTCAGAGTGAAACTGGTCATACCTGCTGTGCACAGGACAGCGTGCAGGAAACTTACAGAGGGTAGCCATTAAAGGATCATTCTGGTGTTTTACATTCAGAGGGATCTGAGTAACTGCTCCAAGAAGTTTGACTGTACTTGGACAAAAACTGGACAACTATGACAACAACAAGCAGATGAAATATAATCAGCTCTACTCTGTTGCAAATAGTGATCTTGAGTAGTATATTTCTGCTGCAAGTGTCATATTTACACCACTTGAATCCCAGTATGAATGAGACCAAGTTTTCCAGCTGTTCTGCTGGCATTAGAGAGAGAAACAGATGTGTCACAAAGGGTGCTGAGATACTGCCTTTGCAATGTGGGGTATTTACACTCCTGTTGAACCTCTTCCACAAGGTGTAGTGAATAAGGTGTAATGGTGGGGCAAAGTTGTTCTGCGTCTGGTCCTCCATCAGGGATAGAAACAGCCTGAATGATGCAGAGCAAGTGTACATGCATGTCCCACTCTGAGTGTATGAGGTTCCTGCTGTCTTAGCAAACTCTACTTCCCTCAAGGATGCAATGTGTCATAGCTCCATTGGGTCATTTAACTGGACTACTGTCTTTGTCCCAGTTTAAAAACACAGGACTACATTGGACTACTGGTAGAGGCCTTTCCACCCACCATAGGCCGCTGTAGTGGGTGGAAAAATATCTCCTTTCATCTCGTTACTTCCGGACTGTCTCCCAGCTGACCCCTTGTGCACCAATACAAACCCATTAGCAAATGGCTACATTGGTCAAAAAAAACCCTGTCACCTAACTTTTGGTGATATGATACTATATACTACCTACCCCCTGAAAACATGTACAACTTTACAGCTCTGTACCCTTTTGTACCAGACATATGGTAGCTTTATCTTGTTTACTTCCCTTACTCTTCTATTGAGGTTTCTTTCTTTTTTTTTTTACTATTCCACATCTTTTTGAAGTGTTTTTGCTGCTCAACTTTTTGTTGAAGCCCACCACTGGAACTGTAGAGCATGCACTGAATGCCTTGTCAAGTAGATAGGGGGAAATTACATGAAGTAACATGTAAATGGTGCAGTCCCCAAGCATGCAACAAAGCTCCTTCATCCTCTTTTCTCCTCCCAGTATCTCCTGTTGCATTCATTCATTGAGAATGTCACTGTGTCTGATTGCATTATTGATTGCGAGACACGAACTCCCATCATAGACTCAGTTTACACTTGACCCACCATCTTGGAGATGTTAGCATTAAATGATGACGACTACAGAACCTTTTAGTTATATTTACTTTGTTACTTTGAATAGCAACTTTGGAAAATTTCAGGGTCAGCTTGTCTTGAAGTGTGCATGCTTTGGAAAGGATTCAGAGTTTTACTCTTTTGGTCAAAAATAATATTTAGAAACTAAGGGTTAAATATCTATGACACTACTGAGGTTTAACACATCAAGGGATGTGGCAACAGAAAAGAGCAGGAAAGAGAAGCAGCTCTAGCTGTAGAAGCTTTACAAATGTAATTACATCGTACTTGTTTGTAAGTCTCAAGCTATATTTGCACCACAGATTAGTAGAGTTTTGAGGGGTCACAAGAGTGACCCCTCAGATAAGACTATCAAACTACATTCGCGTCACTGCTGGACAGCTGGATTCATTTCTTCTGTGTCTGAATAAACTTTTCTGCTGCTTTCAACTTCTTGAGGCTGACAGTGTCCAGTTTGACAAGGTCAAAACTAGGACTTCTCTGAATGACACCAAGTACTGGCGTTCTCTTGTGGCTATGATGCCTGTCCATGCATCTCTGATGAGTCTCAGCCTCACACTAGAGAGGTACTATGATGCCAAAATAAACTGATTTCACTGTGACTAAGAGGCCATCCTTATACAAAAAAAGGCGCACTGAGTGACTGATAACGCAGAACATCAGAAACCAGGTTCCAGAGTAGTCTCTTTTGAAAATGCCACCCTTTCCGTCATCATGAAAACTAAGAAAATGGAAAGGTTCGTAATAACATCTCCCCACCTGCACATGCAAATGTTTGGCTATACTCAACACTATGAGCTACACCTTTAAGATGTGTGTGGTGTTTCATCACAAGGTTGTACAGCATGCATACTCCATTGTTTTCAGGCCTTTCTTGTAAATCAGTGTGCATGCAGAAATTTTATATAACACTAACATTTTTCACACACAATGTAAAGTGTCTTTTTAAGCTGGGCCATGCAGGTGGAAAGTCTGCCGTATTAACATTAAACTGTCTGAAAAGATGCTGGAATAACTACACCATGATTACTGATTTGAAAAAATTATATTTGCAGGTTTATCTAAAAAAACAACAACAAATAGCTCTAAAAACACTTGGTCTCTGAATGGGGTTTGGTTTGGTGGGTGATCTTGACTTTGTCTTTAATGACTCACCATTACTTTATGGAGTTTGATAAACTTTAACTTGAATAAATTTGCATATGCCTCAGGTCTGACCACACCTTCGGACTGTAAACATGACATGCCTGTTGAACTGAAAGAGTTTCTGCTTATTTTTGATTATATTTGACTGATTTTTATACTTGTACCTTTTTTTCTTTTGTTGACGGTGAAGCGGATATTCAGATATCTATCATTGTCACAGGGGACATTGTACATCTGCATAATATCCTCTGCATGTGTGTGATATATTCACTATGATACTCAAGCATCAGGATGTGAATTCAACAAGTGTTCAGTCTCTCAGTCTGAGCAAAAAGCCTCAGAGTCAGAGCAGCTGTGAGCAGAGTCTTTATGTGATAAACAGCTAGTCTCACAGATCATTTTCTCTCTTTGAGCCGCTGTGATCGGGACTCTGAGGCGGTCTGAAGCGGTCTGTGCCCTGCTGGTCTCACCACAGCTCCCCCCGTCCCTTTAAACACTTCCTGTCCTGTTACCATAAAACTGCTAGAAGAGCCTCCCTGCAAAAGTCACATGCTCCTGCTCCCTTTGTTTCCCACAGAAAGACCCTGAGTGTGTGTGAGTGTGTCCAGAGGAAACACATCACAGAGGGGAGAAGAGGACAGCTGATGGATCGTAGAGATTATTAAAGTCATGAAGACACCCATGAATCATGAAAGGTTGAAAAGTGTCCTAAAAATGTGTTCAAAATGACTCTGTTTTGATAGATCTGAGACAGGCTGTGAGGTAATCAGAGGAGTGTTTAATGGAGTGAATGGATTATATACATACTGCTTATAAAATACAGATAATTGTCTAATTATATTGTATTGTTTTAGAGGTAGGTTAGATAGAGAAACATTTAATTAAAATGTACATGAACTACAGCCTAAATGTACAGTTTTTTTTCTGCACATTTTTTGGAGATGAGGATTAAAAGTGAATAAAATCATTATGTTTTTACTGCAACACATGCAGGGTAAATACATACTTATTTTGGTTTTATTGAGCAGCAGAGTGTTGATATGCTCCCCTCTGAAACTCTGCAGACATTACGGTAGTCGACACAACAGCCTAGAGAGGAATTCCTGGAATGTGGAAAGCTCTGATTCACAGTGAAACTAGACTAAAATGTGTTAAACTTCACACAAGAAGCTGCTTTTAACTTGACTTCATGCAAACGTTTCTTCTGACAGAGTCTGACTGATTCATAATGACTGATCCTGTCTGGCCTATTGATCAGTCCTCTGCTCAGCCTCGCTGATCACTTTATTGGCCTTCATATCAAACAAAACGTCCCTCTTGGTGCTTCGAACCCACGTCAGAGGGCTTTGATTGAGTTATCAATAACTCTGTGAACTTTTCCAGAGTACTGAACTTTTCCCCAAATGAAAAAATTCACCGACATCTGCCTAGTAACAGCAAATCCTCCCATTGGTGCAGCTGCAGTCTCCTCCTGTCTGTGTATGTGTGTTACTCTGAACTCACACTAACACAGTATTCGTGAGTTAGATTAACAACTTTTTTTCCCAACATCTGAAATGATGTTCCCAAAGAATAAAGTAACCCAGAGTGAAGTGTCAGCTTATATTTCTCAAGTTTTTTTCATCTATTCAAAAAGTTGTGCGACACTTACTTCTCATTTCTCTTTTGTGCAAAGCTGGCAGATTTAAAACAGCAACATAAAGTAATAAATATTAAAGGTTTGAAAACATATAAAGCATACCATGAGCTGCAGACAAACACAATAATATTAATTTAAGACACAATGATGAATCCATTAGGTGAGAGTATTTGTCAGAGGTTCGACCACACATGCTGGATGAGAAAATCCACAGCTGTAGTTTGATCTGAAATGTAGTGATTATTGTCTCTCTTTAAATCTATGTCCATAAACTGACATTATGATAAGTTTATGTTTCATTTTAAATCAAAACATTGAAACTAACAAGTTATGACTCTCAGGGGAAGTCGGGAATCCCTTCATTAGTTTTTTTTTTTTTTTATGTGGATCTTTCAGCATGAATATCACATTAAAACAGATTCATGTTTACTAAAAGTCTTATCAGACATGTTATTGATCAGTTCTACTAAATAAAGTGTGTTTGTTGAGTGTTATTGTGGGCAGCTTGTTGTCCATGTGCTCCCCTCATGTCCTCAAAGTTGCTCTCATTCACTCTCACTGGAGGAAGAGGAGGGGGGTGAGTCCACACCGCCCCCTACCGGTCGCTCTACGCTCCTCCCACCCTCCGGGATAGACAGGAGTCTCCCAGCCAGAGCCCCGGACCTCCCACCGCCTCCCACCACCACCTCCCCCTCCTCCTCCTCCTCAGAAGCTCGGCGGCTATAGGAGGAGGGGCCCACAGGCTTTCCTTATAGATGTGTATATAATAGAATCCCTTCCTCGCGCGCTCCCTCGCAGACTGCTCGTCTCTTTGATCCCCCGCCTCCCTCCTCCCTCTTAACAACAGCTGACGTCATCGCGCGCGCCCTCCCCACCGCCTCCTCCTCGGTTCGCGCGCACGCACAATGGACGCGGTGTGTGTTACGTGTGCGCGTAATAGCCGAGCGCGAGGCAAGGGGTTTTTGTCTCGCAGAGGGAAGCGCTCCGAGCTTCAGAGGGCTCGCGCACACCGGAGGAGCAGCAGCACGCAGCAGCAGCAGCCCCGCAACAAGAGTGTGATTCAGCCCCGCAGAGGAGCCGCAAGCCTGCCCCGCACACACACTCTGAGACAGGCGGACCCCTGAAACACACCACACTCGCTCACTTTTGATACTCGACACAACTTCACCAATGGAGGACCAGCTGCTCTGCTGCGAGGTGGACTCCATCCGGAGAGCCTACCAGGACGTGAACCTGCTCACGGACCGGGTCCTGCACACCCTGCTGCGCGCGGAGGAGAACTGTCTGCCCTCACCGAACTACTTTAAGTGCGTGCAGAAGGAAATAGTTCCTAAAATGAGGAAGATCGTCGCCACCTGGATGTTAGAGGTACTCCACTCAACTTTATCTGAGTGTCTGTGAGTGAGTGAGCGTGTGTGTGCGTCAAGGAGAGAGAGAAAGAGAGAGAGAGAGAGAGCTGACCTGTTGCTTTGTGGAAGTGTTTGTGTTTTTGTGATCTAACACATCAGAGATGACTATGAGTGTTTGGAGCTCTCTCTCTCACTCTCTCTCTGTGTTATGTTACATAAAGGCTGTGAAAAGTATGTCCTCTTGAGTTCTGGGTGGTCCTTCGGCCATAAGAGGAGATCCTGGCTGCAGACTGCTTCCATGCATGAAAACCCCTCCGACACTTCATTTTAAATCAAATGTATTTTTAATAAGTTTCTTGTGTGTGAAAACAGGAGGAAAATATTCCAAAATAAAAGCAATGTACACGTATGCAGTCCGGCCCGTGCCAGTATTACGCGCCATCTTTGTTGTCGCATGAGGAGGATTTTAATGTCATAAAAAATCTAAAACGTGTCAAAGAGTGACAGTGAGTCTGTTAAAAGTGTCACAAATGCTTCTTCATTGTGAGACGGTTCGGTTCTGGGTGCTACGGAGGGTTCGGCTGCTTTGAGCGAATAAACTCCGCGGTTTGAGTCCGCAGAGCTGCGCTGCCCGCGGGGCTTGAGCTGGGGAAAAAAGCGGTTTAATAAAAGTGTAAAAAAGATAAAATTCATTTTAAGTGTCGGGTTTGGTAGTTTGGATATTTCTGAAGATTTACAAGCTGTTTTAAGTTGAATTCTGTGCGTCTTTATATTTTTTATTAATTTTTGAACTTGCGTATCAGAGAGCCGAAGGGAGCACGTGAAAAGCACCTCCGCGTGAGAAATGATTTTTATAAAATTAACACGCGGCACAATTCGACATATTTGACTGCCATCCGATCAGGTAATCGATGAGGATCATTTACATGTCGATTTGAAGCGGGCTGGTAATTTTTAGATATTTTTAAATATTTTTTGAAAAGATGACGATGTTGAAATTAGAGAGTGAAACTTCGATGGACGCCACCTTTGTGTCTCAGTCAGAACTGACTGCAAACTCATTCCGCTCTTTCCATCACAGCTGCAGGCTCATGAAGAGAGCTTTTTGTTTCTGTTCAAATTAAATATGCACTAAAAAGTTTGTTTTTTACCTTAATTAAAACTTTAACGAATTCGATGTGAAACATGAGTGGATTTCCAGTTCGGCTTTTTACGCACAAACACATCCTGCAGACTTTTGAGCTTTTTTCTCACCTTTTTCAGGTGTGCGAGGAGCAGAAGTGTGAGGAGGAGGTGTTTCCGCTGGCTATGAACTATTTGGATAGATTTTTATCAGTGGAGGCCACCAGGAAAACGAGACTGCAGCTGCTGGGAGCCACGTGCATGTTTCTAGCATCCAAGATGAAGGAGACGGTGCCTCTGACGGCGGAGAAACTCTGCATCTACACCGACAACTCTGTTCAGCCCGGAGAGCTGCTGGTAATTCACTTCATCATGTTATATAACACATGTACAGTCACTGAGCAGCTGCAGAGAGCGCGTGAGCGGGACACAGTAACTTTATATAAAAAAAGGCTTTATTATCACCTGAGGAGGACATGCATTAAAATCAATCAATCGATTAATCGGTGTGTTGGAAGGTGTAAACAAACAGCAGAGCAGCTGTGAGGGTGAATGGCTGCCTGTGACTCTCATGGTGACTGCAGGCCTCCCTCATTTCATGAATGGTCTCAGTGAGTGCCAAGAAAACACCGATTCACAGCGCCGCCCAGCGGACACAGGGCAGAGCTGCAGCAGCAGAGACACGCAACACAAAGAGCTGCACATTTATACTTTTCTTACCTCAGAGCAGTACGGTCAGAAAAGCTAGATCTAGACATAAACTAGAAATAAATCACTGCTCTCATAAGTGTCTAATCATCTATATATAAAATAACACTGTTTTAATGAGCCTTTTATACCTACATAGAAGTGGGTCTGGCACCATGTACCGCCATGTTTCTACAGACAAGCTAGTAACGTACCTGTTTTTAAAATGCACCATTGGAGAAGTAAGAGAGAGTGGATGTTGTTGTATGCAACATAATTTGCATTAGATGTAAACCTACAAATGGAGGAGTTTACCACACAGGTGTTTCTTTTCCTCGAAGGCCACTAGAGCTGAACAAGGGGGGAAATTTAGGGTCAAATCTGACGACCAAATACTGCAAAAACTATAGTTTTGTGCCTTTAAAACCCTGCTGATGTGACCAGCCTCTTTGCAACGCTTCATAACTGTGTGACATGATTTAAAGTAATGATTTATACTACACTAACAGACATTTAAGATATGACTATGCACTGACTTAAATTACATATGGTAGCAAATAATGCATATGGAAGAAATTGGATGGTATCATTATGTAATACAAGCGATGTCTGATTCATATGAGGGCGTTGAGTCTCCGCCTCACTCTGACTGACTCTGTTGTATCTGTTTCCGTCCCCTTTAGCAAATGGAGCTGCTGGTTCTCAACAAGCTCAAGTGGGATCTAGCCTCAGTCACACCTCACGACTTCATCGAGCATTTTCTGTCCAAGCTGGAGATCCACCCATCCACCAAGCTGATCCTGCGCAAACATGCACAGACCTTTGTGGCTTTGTGCGCAACAGGTGGGACACCTTTCCTCCTGTGTTTATTTGTCCTTTAGTATCATACAGAACCAAAGTTTCAACCATAACCCAAATTTCTGATGGTATACAGACCTTATCGCAGTTTGGAAGTACATTTTCCACACACTCATCTAGAGTTATTTATCCCCACAGGAAAATGAGTAGTTCACTTAAAACTTTAGAGGCCTAAACCTTCACTCTCTTTAAAACACAAGCCAGACGTTCCTTGTTTTGTTATTATCATGTTTTAGGTTTATCAACGTTGAAGTTTTATTATCTGTAGGAAACCATAAAGTCTGCTTTTTGCCTTAGTGTTTAATCAGTGCTGTAGCATTTACAGTAGATTTGTATACCTGTACACATATATAGCCTGATGTGCATCTCCTTAACATGTAAATACACATGTAAACAACCCTGACTGCAAGCTCTCTGATTGGTCCACCAGGTACCATTTCCGTGCTCTGATTCAGCAGTTTTTCTTTACCTCGTTTTTAACTTTTCCCTTGATTTCTTGAAGTACAGTTAACTGCTGCATAACATTTATCGGCTCTAGATCAAATACATGACACACTCAAGTTACGTCACCATCGTGCACGATTGCGCCATGCAGCAGAACTAGAAACTGTCCATATGTAAAGCAAAGAATACACACTGCTAGCTAGCATCTTAAGTGGGGACGTAGCGCAGATGCAGAAGTGTAATCCAGGATTTATTACAGGTTACTCATGTTGATGTGTTTTTTGATACATACTCTGATTCTTCCAACAGATGTGAACTTCATCGCCAGTCCTCCATCAATGGTGGCAGCGGGCAGCGTAGTGGCGGCGGTTCAGGGTCTCTACCTGAAGAGTCAGGATGCCTCCCTGTCCTCTCAGAACCTCACAAACTTCCTGTCACAGGTCATCCGCAGTGACCCGGTAAGAAGACACGCACAAGAGCGTGGTGTTGCCGATTCTGTGTTGTGGATGCTGTTCAGTGTTGCTCATAGTTGCTCTGTCTCCCTCAGGACTGCCTGCGGGCCTGTCAGGAACAGATCGAGTCCCTGCTGGAGTCCAGCCTGCGGCAGGCTCAGCAGCACGCCAGCAGCACAGAGAGCAAACGCGTGGACGAGGACGTGGACCTGTCCTGCACGCCCACAGACGTCAGAGACATTAACATCTGAACGAGGGACCGCCATGTCGCCCCATGACCTGATGATTGAGGGAAAGCTGTCCACAGAGGGGGGGTTCAGGGGAGGGGGTGCCTCTTATGAACTTAGCCTCCTCCACCTCCTGCTATTATGGCCGACAAGATGGGACTTAGCGCCCCCTGCCTCTCGCTCGCCCCGCAACTACATCCTACGTTCTTTTTTTCCTGCCCTCTACCCCCCCTTTATCACAGCGGGAAGAAAAAGTACAGACACGTACGAGACAGACAGAGAAAGAGAGAGAGAGAGGGACGATGAGCTGAGTGGGCTGGAGCCACACAGCAGGTTTCTCCCTTAGATATTAAAGTAGGAATCTTTAAATTTACAGACTCTGCTCGCCTACACACACAAACACACACACTAATACACAGACGGAGCGTGTGCAGTAGGTCTCTGTAGTCTGTCCACGTCTGACTGTTATCACAGAGAAGAGCCTTTACTCTCACGCCTCTTCTGTTGTGTTTCCACTCCCTGTCCAAGCCCCCATGTTTGACACTCACGTATCCCTGCTTGCTTCTGTTTAGTCACTTTATTACCTCTCACATTAGACCTTCTGTTAGTCTTAAACCCTCTTTTTTGTTATCCTATGTGAGAGCTGCTCTGGACAACACGTCAGCTTGTTTTATCAGAGCGATCCACCGGCGCTCAGAGGGCTGGGCGATATTCTTATATCATTTAACATTTATCATCACACAGTAGGTGGTCTGCAGCCTGAAGAAACCAGAAGCTGAGCTCAAGATGTCAATCACGTGGGTGAAATCAGTGTTAGTCTCCTCAGCAGGCACCAAACATGATCAACGTTTGTGAGCTGAGGTGTTCAGTCTTTATGGTGCACTCCATTTGACCTCAGGAGTCAGAGTCAGTTGGACTGTGTTGTCATGGTGTGTTGGTGATGTAACATGAAGCAAACTTATCTCCTGACATTGGCAACAGGAGCATATGGCCTGACAACTTTCTGTCTTTGTTTCTGACTCAGTTCTGAGCTGAATGGAGCGCACCATCACTTATCCACAGAGGTTTGTCCTCATCTCCCGTAGAGAGGATTTTATCGCCCAGTCCTGTGCTTTAATAATCTCTCTCTTTTTTTAGTATAACCATTCCAACTTGTTTTCTAAAAAAGAAAAAAAAGCACTTTTTGGTCAGCACTGCTGGTCGTCTAAAAAAAAAAAAAAAATCACATTTTGTAAAACAACATGAAAAGGAGTCTATGGGGCCGCGGGCAGGAGTGTTTGCAGGTGGAGAGGTGCAGCTGTGCTCTGGTTTGATCACCTGATGGAACAGCAAAGTGACCAGAACTGCAGAAACATTTCTTAAAAAAAAAAAAACAGACTGAATGCTGCTCGACATGCCGTGAGTCTGCTGTTCTGCTAACGCTGCCTCACAGGGCCGAGTTTTAGTTGGACCGGTGTTTCCGACAGGCATAGGTGCTCGTACATCCCTGTAGTGTGCAGATCCAAAAACTAGAAAGAAGTATTATTTTATAGCTAAAGTAATACTTCTTTTCCATATAGTGCTATTTATTTTTTCTAGCTTGCTTGCTCCCCCTGCTGTCCAGAAATATTAGTCAAACTAAAACCGGTCTGAATCAGCAGGACAGCTCCTCTCCAGCTGAAACACTTGGGCTCCTGGGCTCTCAGAAGAAAGAGGAGTGTGTTGAGACTATTGAAATGATTTTGCACAAAGGGGAGGGGAGGGGGGCTGCGTTTCTTTGGGGGACGTGACTAAAAAAAAGAGAAGAGGAAAGCTGAAAGACAGTAAAAGTGGCAAAAAAGGGTGAAGGCTCAACAGGGAGGTGTGTCTTAATGCTGTAGAGTTAAAGTCAGGGTTCCTGCGTGGGACCGAGGGGGGGCGACGATCAGACGATTCTGCAGATCCAAATCCAGTAGTGTGTCCGTCTGTGTGGGAACGCTGTGACGTAGGTTTCTGATTGTACATTAAGGATAGAGAGTAGGAGATGAAACACTCCTTGTATTCCGCTGCTATAGAAAATAAATCCCAGCTACGTGTTTTTTTTTTTTTAAGAAAGACAAAATGAGACAGGATTGAAATGATGCTTTCTCTTGTTGTTTGCTGCTACTTTTTTATACATGTCAATATACTGCCATTTTAGGTTTGAATTTTCTCATAGAAAATTGTGTTATTGACATCCTCATTGTATGTATGTAGATTCTATGTGTTTTTGTTAATAATTACGTTGAATGATTTTCCGAACTATTCCAAAAAGAAAAGAAAAAAAAAAAAGGAAAACGAGACAATGTACAGAAATGCTTTGATCCAGGATACCTCATGTGACAGTCCAGATCTATCTCTGATTTGTAGTCTTTATGTGTGGAGTTCTTGTTGATTCTACGTGTCGGCTCTGTTAGGAGGCTGAGGATGGGAGCAGCAGCGAGTCCGTGCTGTGATAATGGTGCCATAACAGAAAATGGGATCTGTATAACTCTGTGGAGTGTTAAGCTGTCTCGCTGAAAGAGACTTTATCCCCCTTTAGGCCCATAGCGGCCTTCTCTCCTTCCCCTTTTATATTTATAAAAGAAAAAAGCTTTTGCTCCAATTGTCCAACTGTCAGTGAGTTTGAGTTGTACATAGATTCAGTGTCAGTGTATTCAGTAAGCCATAGACTCTTCTTGTTTTGTTTTTACAAATCATTCCACACACTCGTGTCGACCACACCAGTTTATCTGTGACTGGGACAAACTGAGTGTTCATATCTGTGTCAACTACACAATAAAAACATGAATTAGAAGAAAACCGTGTCTGTTCTCTTAATTACTGCAATTTTTCAACCTTCTTGTTAGACCGGCAGAAAATAAAGAGACATAAAGAGTTGATTTGAAGAGCTCATCCTGCAGCAGGCGGACAGGCTGTTTCATCATTCTTCAGGAATCCGCTCCATCATTAAAGGGATATTCCGGTGTAAAATTAATAGGGCTGGGCAATAAAATGATAATGATATATATCAAAAATTAATTTTCCTCAATATCAATATAAAACATGGTCAATATGCTTTTCAATAGTCAGAATTCTGCCGTGTTTTGGTAGACGAAATGAATAGCCAATGAAAAGGGGAGTTTCTGCGGGTCTGCTTCATGCTGAACCAATCATGTGTTGAATTAGAACTGAATAGCAAACAACTGCGCAGTAGCAGACAGCAGCTACACCCAACTATAGCACTTTAACCCAGAAAACAGCCGACCATTCAGTCGGCTTTCTCTTGCATCATCTAAGAGACACAAAGACCTCACAGATGCAGTAGATAATTGTATTGCAAAAGACATGCTACCAATAAAAACTGTTCAATTTCATTTTTGATATCGTGATATATATCGATATCGACTTATGTGAAAAAAATATATCGTGACAAACTTTTTCCCATATCGCCCAGCCCTAGGTCAAACACATCGTAACACACAGTTAGACTCCCCCTCGAGAGATGACCAAGACGCTAAGGCAGAAGAACTACCGTGTCTGCAGTGCAAAATAGTAAAATATGGTGATTATTACTTCAAGGAAATGATAAAGAAAAGATGATAAATGTTCCTCCTTGAGCTGCAATCCATAATGGACTGGCCTGAGGTCTTGCTACAAACAAGCAGCTGCTGGAAGAGAGTAGGTGAGTTGTGTTTAGTCTCCTTGCTGAAGAAATCAGGCAAAGCTAAAAAGATGTTTGGTGGCTAGTACTATGACTGGGACCCTATATGTACTGTTGAATAAGTTAGGTGCTGTTCTGAGCATTATTTGTGGCTATAAAGTGGCGTTTTGGTTGAGGTTTGTTTATGGCTGACCGCTTATCCTCAGACCGCTGTGTATTGCTATCGTATGGTCGCTACTAAAGTTGGTATAACTAGAGAAGCAAGTGGTCGGCAACATTCATCTCTTGAGGGGGTGTCTAACTCTGTGTTACGGTGTGTTTGACCCCAAATTAATTTTATGCCGGAATAAATATCCTTTAAATACTCAACAGGTTTCTGCTCTACCTCGCACCATTATATGTGCTGCTGACCTGAAAGTCATGACTTCTCTTATTGCAGACCATTCTGACCCTTTAGGCACACCGTAGTGAAGTCACCACTGTGTCCTCATACTTCCTGCTGCTGCTGAGTTGAAAAATAATACTGGTGTTTTTTAAAGGCACAAAAAAACATGAATGATTTTGATGACTGTTTGAAATTAATACATTTTGTCAAACAGAGTTATTGTAAACACATCGGATTAGAAGTGAAACCTCATTACAGGTCATCTCTGTGCAGGTTTGAGTCTACAGCTGTCAGTATCTCCACATCTTTATGCATCCTGACATCCCTCAGTTCAATCCATTCATGGTCTGTGCCAAGCTAAATAAAGACAAAAATAATTAAGTAAAATTAATTTAGGGTCAGACACACTGTAACACCGAGTTAGACACCCCCTTGAGAGATGAATGTTGCCGACTGCTTGCATCTCTAGTTAAACCAACTTTAGTAACAACCCCACGATAGCAATACACAGCGGTCTATGGAACCATACACAAACCTCAACCAAAATACCACTCTATAGCCACAAATAATGCTCAGAACAGCGCCTAACTTAAAGAAACTAAACACAACTCACTTACTCTCTTCCAGCAGCTGCTTGTTTGTAGCAAGACCTTGGGCCTATCCATTACGGAAGGAAGAACATTTATGATCATTTCTTTATCAGTTCCTTGAAGTAATAATCACCATATTAATAATTTTGCACTGCAGATGCGGTAGTTCTTCTGCCTTAGCGTCTCGGTCTGAAATGTTGGAGTGTGTATAAAACCACAATGACGAAATCAGAAAAGTTAAAGAGCTCCTGTGAGGCACTTTCTGTTTTTGTGAATTTTAGCACCCCCAGTGGACAAAAAGAGGGATCTCATACCTTTAACAGGTCAAACCTAGGTTTTGTCCCGGACATATGTTAAAAGGGTTTTTCTGACAATAGCGGTTTAAAAAGAAGTCCTCTTTGTCACCATGTGTGTTTGCTTTGAAAAAGACAGAATAAGGCTGTTTTCCAGAGTGCTGTAAATCCACTCATCTGTCACCTACCCCCTCACAGCGGTAACAGACATTAGCATTACTACATAATAATTATCATTCTTGTCACTGGTGTCTTTGTTTGTCTCTGCAGGCCATATCTGTTAATTTCGCCCTATTTCATAACCAGTCAAAACTCCTCATTTTGTTAAAGACTTCAACTATTGTAACTTTAACTGCAGGTCAGTCAACACTTCAGAAGACCGGGTGTAAGGGAAGTCCTCAGTTTGGCGTGTTGTGATCAGTCGTATCCCAGTCAGGGGAACAATAGCTTCATACAAACAGGACCTGGATGAAACCTATGAAAGCAACTAAACTGAAACTCCTGAAGAGTGTAAACGCTGGCAGATTAACTGGGGATCCTTCAACGCCATTGGGTATTCAAGAAGAGGAGCACACCATATTGACACTGATAGGACATATTGTGCATCGTACCACTGCAAGCACTAAAACATGTTTTAAGACCACACTGGTGCAGAATCATAAATCTAAATATCAAAATCACAAACTAGATTTTATGCATTCTTGTTGACCAGATCAAGATACTGGAATCAATTGCTTTAGTGTAAAAATTCTTTTTTTTTTAATTCAAACAAATGGGACATAAAACATTATTTTAAGAAATTAATCATGAAAAATTTTTGAAATTTTTTGATTTATAACAGTTTAAAAAACACTGGTCTAAGAGTCCCAGTTAAATGAGTTGTTTTGAAGGTAAATTTAAATTACACAGAATACTAGTTAAAAGAGCTCAACAAATCTACCAAACAATTGAGGCAGAGCAGCAACTCCTGTGCCGTGTCAGTGCAATTATTGTGTTTTTCCACAGACTCTGGTGGCTTTGGAGAGAATCATGTAACAACTGCTGCTAGTTTAAAGAAAACATGGAGGTTATCATGTTGGACTACAGAAACAACACAAACGATCCTGCATTCAAACTGGCATGACAACCCTGACAGAAACACCCCCAAAATTGTTAAAACTAATGCTGACGTGTGTGTGTGTGTTGACTTTATTTTCAAAATTCCCATCTTTTACAGAAAATAATGGCACACAAGTACAAGAGTTATGACTCAACCTGAAGGTTCAATTCTGCAGTTTTTCACACAATTTCAAGAAACTTGACTATAGAAGTTTAAAAGTGCACACAAAAGCACACAAAATTAGCACCATAACAGGTACATTTTCATGGTACTTAAATGAACCACAACAGATGTGTCGACCTGTAAATTCTGCTAATTTCCTGAAGCAGTGAGAACAAGACGATTCTGTCTGAATCCCAAAAGTTATTGTTTGGCTAATGATTAACATGAATGAGTGTGTGTGTGTGTGTGTGTGTGTGTGTGTGTGTGTGTGTGTGTGTGTGTGTGTGTGTGTGTGTGTGTGTGTGTGTGTGTGTGTGTGACAGTACTCATTGATTTGTTATGCAAGGAATGTCTTTGATGGGGCTTCAGTGTGGAGGAAAAGGCGTGAAAAGTCTAATCCTTTCCCACAGGCCTGCCAGCGCCAGCTCAACCAGCAGCAGACAAAGACCCTCAACGCACACACACATACACACACACACACACTGGGACTGAAGTCCAGTCCCAGTATACAGAAAAAGTTTGAAGTTTGTATGGAATCAAAGTTTTTAAATTGAGAAATGTTGGTATAATCTAGTTGAAATCTCGATAAATGCGACTCAAATTTCGTAGTATGAGGTTTAAATCAACGGGTATAAAAAAAGTTTAATATATTTTTGAAATAATGAATGTGATAGATGACACTTCGATTTTTGGGATGAAATTGTGTAAAAATGGAATTACCTAAATAATAACGAAATTTATTGACGCACTGGTGCCACCTTGTGGTCACACTGTGTTATACTACATCAAGTTTTTGCTAAAAGAAGAATCAAGATCGGAGTCAGGTTTACTGTCAGGTAGTTTTTAAATTAAATTAGGATTTATTATTACTATTGGTGATTTGATAAAAAAAACAATTAAGTCAAAAGGAGAAAAGAAATATTCTGATAAAAATATGAAAAACTATGAAATGGTTGACGTGAGTTTTTTTATGAGGTGGAATAAATTTCGCAAATTGAAAGAACTGGTGTGACATTTATAATTTGCTACTTTATGTACTTTTAACTTATTTGTAAGAGTGAAAAATCGGAACTTAAGTGAGTTACTTACTCAAAGCTATCCTGGTGACGTATGTCAACGATAAATCTGTGGAAGTTCAGTCATCTGGATTATGGAGGACCAATTGATATGGACAGAGGACTAATAACTTTGCTGTAGGATACAACTTGTTTTTAATCTTGAAACAGGAGGAGGTCTGGTAAGTATGGCAAACACAATAAATCCTCAAAATGTGGTCAGTCTCAACTATGTCTGATGTAAACAGACTGAAATAACATGAAAGAACCTCCTCCTGTAGCTGAATCAAGCCAGTAAATGCAAGTCATTCAGGCGTTAAAATATGTGTGAATCAAGCGAGCTGCTAGTTTTACTTGTATCGAGTGTGATCACAACAAAACACACAAAGGCATACTGGTGAGGCAAAGTCGCTCAACCTCTGATCTTCCCTCAGTGGCAGTAATAGAGGGGGAATGAGGGGAAGAAGGTCTTTGTACCTGCATGTCTGTGTATATGGATCTCCTGTTGTGTGTTAACAAGCCGTGCCTCTAATGCTTCTGCAGCAATGTTTATGTGGTTTGTCATCACAAACTTG